CACTAAAGTACGTTCTTTGCGATGAAGCGTTTTAGACCAATGAACTGTTTTCAAATTATTGTGTTGATTTTTATATATTTAAAGTACTTTTTAAATGGCTATTTAATGAAAATATACTACAAGATTAAAAACTAAACTACTTCAAATTGAACTGTTCATTACAAAGTGTTCAAAACCAGTAGCATCTATTTGATTCTGAGATGTATTAAGCCAGACACTTCTAATTAAAATTGTAAAACATCAATGGGGAAAATCTCATCTGAGATTCGATACAATTCTGAGGACAACGTTTAAAGGTAAAATTATGAAAGCTTATGAGTCTAGGGCAACTTTTTAACTGTCCACTTTATGGCAACAATCAGACTAGTTTTAGAATGGCAGTTAATAAATTATTTTTTTAAAAAACTTATAAATAGTTGATATGACAAGATTGCAACCCATAAACAAAAAGAACCACTGCTGTCCTAAACTGTTAGGATACTGAAGAAGTTTAGAATCATTCAAAATTTGGTCACATGGAGGCTAAATTTCCACTTTAATTTTTCCACTGGAAAAGAAGTAGGATTTGTTGCAGTGCTATCTTCAAATATCTTTTCAGTAGCTTGGAGACCCACTGCCCTTTGAAGATCTGGGCTCCTTTTAACATTTGTTGCATGTAGGTATAAGTTTGTCTTTTAACACACAAGGTCAAAGACACTTCCAAACCAGCACTTGGCATTCCTGAAATTAAGACCTTGGGAAAGGGTATTTCATGGCAGCATTATCTGAGAACAGACAAGAAAAGATCTTTTTCATCTTGGTCCTCACTGGTTCACCCACATTCACTAGTAGTTCAAAGGTTCCTCCACATTAGAACATTCTCTGAAAAGTTCATTTCACATCTTTTCCATTATAGATTGTCTCAGAAGAAAGTCTAATGATCAAAATCATTTGCTAGCCCTATTTTAGGAATCACTTTCAAATACGGGTAATAACTCTCAACCAAAGAAAGTTTCCTGTGCTCACCTGGGGCAATACAACTTAGAGCTCACCACACCTATCTCCCAGAAGCCCACATCACCGAAAGATTAATGGTTTCTTCCTCAGGTAAAATCTCTCCGCTATGATCAGCTGTATTACATATTCATTTGCCAGGCTGGTATCTCGCTATCAGTGCTCTTCCATTCATAACAGGGAGCATGTCCCTGCTGGGCTAAATCCCCACCGTGATTCATTTTGTGGAGAGAATTATTGCTGAGGAAGTCACTGGGATGCCACATCTGGGTTTCTAATATTCCTCTTCCCCCTTTCATAGTATATAGAGTATTATTTCCATGCTAAATAGTATTTTAGCAAAATCAGAGAACTTTTTCCTAAAAATCAAAACAGTTTCATCCTACAAAAACATATTTTCAAGTGTTCCCTTTATTTAAAAGGGCACGTCACTGCTTTAGCTCCATTAACCACTTCTATGGCATATGCCTTTATCCCTTTCATTTCTGTTCATATTTCAGGGAAAATAATCAATGCACTGTTACTGATGTGTAAGTTTATGGAGGAACTGAAGTCATCATTAGTGATGGTGAGCCTGCAACTTGCCAATGTAGTAACGGCAGGCATCTCTGCAACTGGCTGTATTTTCAGCATTTTGTAATCCTAATTATCAGCTCCTTGAGTGTCAGGCACCTCAAGTATTTTAGACTTAATTTAAATTTTAGAGCTCATTTGTATAGATTTCCTCAAAATTAAAAAAAAATAAAAATAAAATCATATTGTGGATTCACATATATGTCAATATTCCATTTAGAGTTTTAAAAGCTTCATTCACCACCAAGACAAACATATTTACGTTACACCAATTCTAGGCATTTTTAGGAACATTCAAGAGTTGAATAAAAATTAACGTGGTGAAATATGCAAATTTTTAATTAGGTATTGCATTAAACAATATTAATTTACAAGGGTTTAAATCCAATTAAGTCTTCTCCAGATTATATCACTAAAATTGCTTTGTTAGTTACCAAGTGTTGGAAAATTATTCAGCTCTTTAAGGTTGTTGAGTAATTTAATTGGTATAATTATTGCTTTCATGGTTAGGCTGGTGGTCACAAAATAAGTATCTGACAAGTAATGTCTGGAAACCAAAAGATACAGTGTAAAGATATTTAGATATTACTATATCATCTCTATAAAACAAGAGCTAAAAATAAATTGTTTTAAGGCAGGCCACAAACAAGTAAAACACAAGAGAGAAGAGTATGTATAAACTATCTCACACTGCCAAGTTCTTGAACTTTAGAAAGACTGAGCCTGGGTCTTTGTTTTTGTTTTTTGTAGATGCAGTGATTTTGGTACAATTGCTGTAACAAGTCCGTCAAGCCAAGCATGAATATGTATGAGCCTTTATTAGATACAGCCAAGGATTTGTGGAAAAAAAGGCCTGCTTTATGAGCTTCAGTGCTGATGCACTGCCTTTTTATTTGTTTTTGTTTTTAATATAGCACATATAAATTCATATTCCTCAAGCCAAAGCTTTCACTAACATGCTTTTATTTAATTATAAAGCATGGCATTTCAATAAGGTGTTGAATTCCTCTACAGCATGTAACTCGCCATGCTTGCAAAAGACAACTCAGGATTTAAAAACAAAACAGATCACCACCTTTCTCATTAGGGATTGCTCATTAGAACCTTTCATTAGAAAAAAAAAAAAAAAGCAACTGCAGGTTTGCTTTCTATCGGAAAGAATCTGCTCGGTTTTGACATTAAAATTACTTAATTTTAGGTTCCTTGTGCTGTGCTTTTTACTTCTTTTTTCCCCTCTCAATTGGGCACACAAGTCCTCAAAATACAGGGTGATTTTTTCCTGTTACCTATACTACAGAGCTCATTAGGCCATGCTGTAAATCACAAGGCTGTTTTATTATTAATATCGTGCCACAAGAGGTTGTGTTAACCCCTTTAACTACCTGGGTCCACCTGTTTCCATTAAAGTTACTATCCCCATCTCCCCAAAACTTATCTCTGCAATCTTTTGAAAGAAAAATACACCTTCATTGTTCTTTTTTTTTTAGCTACTGTTAATCACAAAGGAACAACATACAAAACCAAGCCATGTATGCCACTCCAATGTCGGACTATTTACAATTTTTGAAATTAATTTGAAGGTCACTGCATTTTCTTTTGATATGCGTGTTCCCAGATGCCACAGAAATGAAATTTGCACTACATACAGTAAAATTATCAAAATAATGCCATTATTTCTTCCGCCCTGACTATAGGACACCTAGCTCCATTTTACCAAGATCTTCCCCAAACGAGTAACTGTTCAAACTGTTGAGAAAAATCTCAGCCAGTTTTGTTATTACCTAGAATAACTGTAAAAAATAGTTTCACAGTTTAGAAAAGCTGATTCTTCACTACTGCTGCAGAGTTAGTTTAGGGGCTTCATATATAACACTGTTTCATTAACAAAAGAAGCGTTTGGTGTAAACATATCATTCATTTCAAACTAGAAATGAATGTTTTAGTATGGGACTTATTTAACTTTTAAACTAATTTTCAACAAAATAATAAGAAAATTAAACAAATTGTTCACCAATATAAAGAGATGCAAATTTAACTGGGGAAAGAAAGTCTTTGTTTGCCATGGCACAATACACCTCAGAACTTAAGAGAAGTAGAACTGCACTGAAGGGCACAATTTGTCTTAACAATTCTGGCTTTCAAAGCTTGTTCGGAAATCACATCTATAACAGTGAACTGGAGGAAGACAGAACTGCTCCAAGAAAGGACGAACCTCTCTAAAAAAAAAAAAAAAATATATATATATATATGTATGTATGTATGTATATAAGTGCCCTGGTTTCAGCTGGGATAGACTTAATTTTCCTCCTAAAAGCTGCTGCAGTGCTATGCTTTGGATTTGGAATGAGCATAATGTTTCAGCTGCTGCAGAGCAGGGCTCACCTAGAGCCAAGGACTGCTCAGCTTCTCGTGCTGCCCTGCCAGCCAGGGGCTGGGGGTGCCCCAGGGGCTGGGAGGGGACACAGCCAAGACAGCTGACCCAGGCTGCCCAAAGGGATGTCCCACAACTGCTTTTATCTCAACCCATGACTTTTTAATTCTTTTTTTCCCCCCAATTCTCTCCCCTATCCCACTGAAGAGCAGGAATGAGCGAACGGCCGTGTGGTGCTTAGCTGCCTGCTGGGTTAAAGAGTAACAAGGGGAAAATCATTTTTCCATGAAGTTTAACTGCTCTGTTGCTCAGTCATAAAAGGCCAAATCTCAAAGGTATCCTGGGCAATGAAACCCCTAGTTCAGTTGCATATTTCTCATGGAGTATTTTCTTTTACTTGAATTCCTTGAATTTGCCAATCTTTCCATTTCATTGAACAGTATTTGCTGTTGTGTTGTGCTACAAAATAAACATCCAATGTGTCATGCTTGGTTTTGTGCATTTATGTTGTACCATTTACCTCCTCCCTGTAACTCAATTGCAGTGTTGTCAACATGTGTTCAGAAAACTTTGCAAACATGTCCTCAGTTTTGAACATTCCAATACTGCATGTATGCAATCTGCCTGATGAATAAAGATAATTCACTACATGTACCAACAAAATATTAGTTAGGAATAGATGAACCAAGAGTATGGACTTGTGACTGTCCATTCTGAAAGACACCGGTGTACCCTCTTCATTCAATGGAGCAAAGAAAAGTATTGCATACTAATGAAGCAACATTCAAATGATGCTATCAGAATCTAGCAAAAATCCTACTCTTAGATTAAAAACATTAAGGAATCCAGAGTTATATTCTAGAGCCACTCTGGTGCATACCTCAATGAATTGCTATTTTGAAGTAGAGATGAAATCCCCATTTTTTAGTTAAAAAAAAAAAAAATAGAATAGAAGGCATTATCAGGCTTTTTAAATTTCTTACTGAGCTATAACAGAATGAAGAGCACTCCATTCTCAACCTCAGGAAATATCTAGTAGATAGCTGATATATCTCTTTCCTACCTGTTTTCCAGACAAACTGATGACCTCTCCTGGCTTCCAAGTCAGCTGTTTGCAACATTAAGAAAACAAATAGAAGGAAGGACTTCCCCAGGCTCTGCCATGCCCATTGAGGAGAAACCCAGTTCTGTTGTAGAAGCATAATTCAGATAATTCCGTTTCTGGTCTTCTTCAGTCCTAGAATTAACCAAAATTTTAAAAAAAGAAAGAAGTCACTAAATGTTCTTAACAAAGCTCTTAACAACCTCCCAATGCAAATAAATGGCCCTTCTTTTGTCTTTTAACCATTCCATGCATGAATATAAGATACACAAAGGCAACACGAGAAATACCCCAGGAAAGGCAGGGAAGCAAGGCACTGCTCATTAGTGATGAACCAGCCTGGAAGGGAAAACTAGAGATAACTCAGGGATTTCTTTGGAGTTTGGGACTTGCATTTACGACCCTGATCTTTGAGGTCCAGAGCAACAGCCGGTTACTCTGGAGAGGTCTCACTGGCTAAGAGATTTTAATGAAGCTCTCCACCACTTCAGATGAATAGCAGAGCCACATGGTGAGTGAGAAAGGAATGTATCGAGTCCAGTATAGCTGGAGCACTTTCATATCATACAGCTCATTAAAATAATCACTGCGCAACATCGGAAGCAAGAATGTTTCTGTGGCAGAGTATCAGGGTCTCCTGCATAAAGCACGAGCCCAACCTCTTGATGCCTGCTTCAGTGAACATTGAAATTGTTCACATACACCAGAAAAGCTCCAAAACACGAGAGAATAAGAAAGGCGCAACAAAACCAAATATTGAAACTCCTGATTCAACGTGGAAATTTAAATCACTATTTCTCTCATCCTACAAATAGACTAACTAGGCACTTATTTATGCAGGGCTATTTTTGTCGTTTGTTTTACATGGTTTGAAGATATTTTGAATCCATCCACATTCAAATGGAAAAAGTTCTGATCTCTCAAAAAACGCTGGCGCATGGTACTTGCCACGCTAAACAATAGCTAGTCTCTCATGTCAATTTATATATCAAATTTTTCTTGTGTAATACCTTTTGTATTTATACTATGTTTAAATTCTCAAAATTTTTCTGCATGTTAGTATTTAATCCTACTTTTACAGGTAAAAATGCCACATTCATATTAGAGTTAGCAGAGATAACACCTGTCTTCAAGATTGGTCTTCACTTGCGTAATCTTGGTGATTTTCATTAAAATTATCAGTTATTAGAAGTTTAGCCCAGAAAATTCCATTACATTCCTAACCTTATGAAATGCAACATTGTCATAATACATAATACACAGCATTGTTCTTGATAAGAAACTGGAGATAAACCTGAAAATAGTACATACTGAATAGATGGTGAAACTTAATTTCAAGCTGCATTTAAATTACTTTGAAACAGTTTCTATCACGATAAGTTCATGCAATTAAATACAATCAGATATTGACTAACTATGGTGGAGGATACAATGTTATATCTGTTATCTGGGTTAGTTCATTCTTACATTTCAGATGAACAGCAAACGGTAAGGCCTGAAAACCCATCAAGTTGACCAAATATCGCAACTCAGGCAATGTTAACAGACTTATTGTATTTCTCACGTCTGCTAGGTTAATTTAGCATTTCACATCTGATTCAGAACACTGGCTGTGGAATCCCACACAGGCCAGAAGCGAAGCTCTGAAACCTTGAGCATCCTTCAGAACTGAGATGCAGAAGACATTCCTCAGAGGAAAGATGTTACCCCAATGCAAACAGAGTAGAGAAGTCCTTCAAAGAGAAGGGGGCCTTCAGGCATCCTGCAGGTAATCTTTCTGCCCATTTCGATGGCTGCTCACCTCACACAGAAGAGCTGAGGAGGAGCAGCTCCTCCAGTGTCTTCAGCATTGCAGTTACCATGTATGACGGGCAAAAAATGAAGTCACCAACTTTCTGTCAAGGGAAAGAGAAGGAATAAGTGACACTGACTTCAACACTGTTCGCACCCCAAAATGCAATACCAGCAAAGAAATTGTTCAGATGCTCAGCTTCATGTGCTGAATCGGAGCCAGCATGCCCAGCCCTGGGCAGACAATACTCCTCTGAATTGCAGGGCAGCTCTCCAACTCCTGGAGAACGCAGTAAAAATCATGTCCTGAACAGGTCAGGGCATGAAATGGGCATGTCCAAAGAAACTTCCCATAACAGCTAATAACGATGCTGAGATTTTTAATGAAGCTCAAGTAGAGCTAATCAGCAGCTTTCTAAATACACTGCCATCTTCTCAGCATTCAAAGGGTCGGTAAACAGCAGTAAATCCCTGAGAGCAGCAGACTCCTGCCCAAAACGAGGGGTTTCACATATGTTCATGCTTTGGACAAGACTACAAAGATAACTGGCTGCTGCTCCCCATGGAGCAAGAATGGAGATTACATTAAGTCAGAAAAAAAAACAGAAATAAATTAGACACCACGAGACTGATTCTAATCTCACCTACCCCAGCAGGGCTCAGCAGAGCCCACTGATTTACACCACAGTAAGCACAATAAAAATTTGTCTGTATATCTAGGTTTGTATAACACAATTTGGAACAGTAGCTGTTCTGTCCTGATATGATAAAAAATTATTGCACAGGCAACATATGCTATCTACAGAAACATGAATAAATTACATTATGAAGGCCACCAACACTTCACATCAAATTTAGTTACAGTATATCTCAGCTCCCAAATGTGTCAGCATGGCTAGCTGTAAACTGGCAAACAGAGGAAAAAAATGAGAAAGAAAAAAAAAATGAAACTTACATTTTAAAAATTGACTTTACCAAGACTACTCATGATTAAATTCATGCAACTGCTTAAATATGTTCATGATGTGTTTTACTCAGAAACTCATCATACTCTTCCAAAAGCGATTATCTGGATGTACTCAGTATCCTTTATCATACAACCCTGGCCAAGTGATCATCTGCACTAATGGATTCTCATGAAATTAAATAATAAACTGTTGTTTGAAGGATTAAACACAAGAATCCCTTTAGTTTTGTTTGGTTTGTATGGAATCATGTTCAGAAAAACAAGGGTAAAGTGCATTACGTAAAATGGCTGGGAATACACAGGCAGTCTTGAAAAAAACATATTCAAGTTTTCTAGTCATTATGGCAAATACATTTGCATTTTCTTATTCACTGCTAATTCTCTTAACGACAGGATGGAATAAAACTAGTTTAAATTGTAGACTTCCATGTAGAAACCTATATTTCTGCAGAAAACAAGGCACTTGAACAGTGTCAAAGTGCTATAAATAAACAAACACGCAGATCACAAATAAATATCTTATTTCTAAAATGATCAAAATTTAATTTCCCTTTCCACATCAGCAAAACACCCTGGTCTAATCCCTGCTCAGCTGGGGAGGAAAGGAGCCTCTGCAAAACTTTTCTTGTTTTCCAGGCACTGCTCAGACAGGCACGAGCTACGGCTGAGCACCGTGAGGCAGATGTTTCCAAGTGACAGGCTCTCTGCTAATCCCACAAACATCGGGGTTCTCAGAAGCATCCAGCACCGACAGACAAAAGATTGATGGCCTAATTTTTCCTCCCCAGTCTGCACACACCACGCTGTCAAGCAGGGACCAGTCGCTGTTTCGGCGAGTTTCCACAGGACGAGACATTTCTTCAGGCTCTCTGCGTTGTTTCAGTGGTTCAAGACGATTCAATCTGGCTCTGCTCCAACGTGGGCTTATGCAGTATTTATAAGTCAACTTAGAAAAAAGATCAGCCTAAACTGATCCAAATGTAAGGCATGGTTTCAGCCTTGTCATACATCAGTTAAATTCCCCCCGTGTTTCCTGGGAGTTGTGGTCTTCCACATCACAGGTACATCCAACCTATTTTTTTTTTATTTTTTTTTTTGGATAAGAAGGGGATGCTTACAAGGACACCTGGGTAGCATTCTCCATTTAAAACACACAACGCAATTAGAGACATCCCAAGCACTAAGCAGAAACAACAACAAAAGAGGTTGCAGCTCTTATGTCTGGCTATAAATCGTTTAGCAGATGTCTAGCACAAAGATAGGCATCATTAATCATGAATAAATTTTCTTAATGTAAATCTAAGCTGTAATTATGTAACTTTGCCTATTTCACACAGCAGACTCATTGCTTGTGATATCCCTGGATAACTTGAATGTTTGCAGCATACTCTTTATCCTCAGATACCTGTAAAATCCGCCTTGCCTTCCAAGAAAGCTGTTACCCAAGAAAATAACTCTGTTCTGTCCTAAAGCAGCATGCTGCCCTTTGTTTATTTATTTATTTAATGATGAACATGTATTTACACTAAACTGCCTTTACTACCCTACAGAAAACAAACACCACATTTTTCTGCTGACACATCTGGATTAAAACAGGCTTCTAGTTAAAATACAGGCACCCTAATTCCTAGGGCCAGCTGTGTCAGAAACCTGTCAAAAAAAAAAGGTGAAAAGTCACCTAAGGTCATGCTCTGACACTAGTACTTAATTCTGCAAGCTCTCCCATTGATTTCAGGAGAGAGACTTTGCATAAAAGGGAGCAGTAGCTCGATTATTATACCTCTACTTCTTTATTTGTAAGATGCAGTTAAGAATATTTAATCTCCTTCCAGGAGCATTTCAGAAAATCCTGGCTAAAAACATGCAGTATGAATGAACTAAACTTTTGTCCTAAGTGATCACTCAACAGGAATCAAAGTATTAAGCTCCATAATTCTTTGGTAGTTTGCTCCGGTAACTGTAAGAGTGAATAATGCCTGGAAGAACATCTGGTGTTCACACATCTGCACACAGAAGATAACCACAAACAAGCAGCAGACGGTCTAAAACAGCCTGCTCCGGGCTGGGAGTAAGCCTGCCTGCATGCTGCTGTGTTTTGCTGCCTGTTTGTGCCCGTGCCTCAGTGCCGATAACCAGCCCAGCATAGGACAGAGCAATGGAGAGCAGAGCCCATGTGAGATGGGGCTGCTGGAGAGGTAACGGAGAAAGCTGCAAGGGGAGCAGGCTCCTCCTGTCCCCCCGTCCAAGCTGAGCACATGTTCCAGCTGGTCCCTTCTCACATGTAACCATTAACAACTTTTCCCAACATCTAGCTGTGAAAAGCTTGGTAGGCAGGCTCTAGCTTTACTCGCCCTGTTTGACAGTACAATTATTTTGGTGATCTCCATAGTCAAATTGTATGAGTCCTAATGATTTGATCATTTTCCTTCTATTCAACAATTTCTAGTCTCAAAGTTACAGAAGATGCCAGGGATTAAAAGCAAGAATATGAAGTTACTGCCAATGAATTGCTTCTTGACTTGCATTGATTTCTTTGGGGGTAAAAAACAGGAATCCTAAGTTTTCTTGCTTTTTGTTTATGTATATCCTAAAAACGTAACAAAGGCAGGTTTGAATTTAGAAGTTTAATTATAAACTTAGCCAAGTGGATTATAATGAAAGATGTTCTAGCAAGGGAGCTCAAACTGATGCATTATGACTACATTAAAGAAAACACCAGAGAATAGACTTTCCATCAGTAGAATGACTTTAATTAAAACAGTGATCGAGCAGAACTGTTCTGTGAAATGGCACTTCTGGTACATCTCGTTCACGCTAAGTACCTCCAGCGTACTCTATGGAAAGGCACTTGACTTTCAGTAACAAAGTAGACGTGATTTCACTGTGCTGACGAACCTGGTTCAGGAGATGGGTTGCAGGCAGCCCAAGCAAACCTGGCTTCGCTTGGACACAGCCCATAGAGCTAACGCTCTGCTAAAGGAGACTTTGGAGTCAAGGGCCACAGGATTGTGAAAGGCATGGTCCTGACCCTCCCCAGGTGCACAGCCACGTGCTGGCTCTCCCCAGAACCAAGGAGCATGCCGACATTTCCTTCCACAAGGATCATTTGCTGTGTCATCCAGCACGCAAATGTCCAAATGCTAGCCAAGCCTTGGACTTTTCGATGGTATTTAACTGCCATGGACCCTTTGGTGCTCTCGTCATCATGTCTTAGAGCTCAAAGTAGACTAATTTACCTTCACAAATGTTCTTCGAACTATTATCATACTCCTCACAGCAGGAACAAGCACAGAGCAATTAAGATCAAAATGCTCAAGACTGTCGATAGGTTTCTCTTGTGAACTCAGCATTGATTTTTTTCTGAGCAGCAGAACACAGAAAGTGTCCAATAACTTTTCAGTAACCTTTTCACACTGCTTGTGCACTTTCATACACTTAATTAAATACTAAGATTGGCTGCAGCAGGTCAAACCAAACTTCTGCAAAGTCCTAGATCCTGCCTCCGACGAGGACCCAATGCCAAATGCCTAGGGTGCAGCATAAGAACTGAGCGTGCATAAATAACAGTTCTCATTTTACTTGCCCAGTCTCCAGCAATTTACAGCTCCCACATCTCCTGAGTCACAACCAAGCAGATCTTTGCATCCGACAGCCCTCAGCAGAGATCTCCCCTTAAAACTTATGGCACCAGCCCTGAACCCATGCGCGCTTTTAGCACCTGCACGCGGGTGGCTGCTCACGGCATGCCTGCCAGCCAGCGCTGCAGAGCACAGTGTGGCAGAGAGCTCCATGAGGCTCTCATACCGTGGCGTGTCCTCTCCACAGCAGAGAAACTTTATAGCTGTGGGGTAACAGAAGTTTCTTTTTATTTATTTTTCATTGGTTAGAGAAAACTTTGAGTCTGTTATCAATATATTATTCTGCTGTAGCTTTCATCACTGGCAATGGATGAACTAAGGGTCCTGTCAAACCCAGCTGTATCTAAGAACTGCAGTCACAGTTGCGCGGGTCTTGGATTGCTGTTAAATTGCAATTAGGCAGACAAAGAGAAAGGGAGCTGGCACTGCTTTCAACACCATTTCAGTAAATGCAAGTTGTTGTTCAAAGAGGATTATCCTCACTTTACTGGCGAAACAT